AATTGAAATTTTTGTCTTCCTATATAGATAAAAATTTACACATTCTCTTTCTTCCTCTCAAATGGAGGCACCAAAAATGCAATATTTCTCACTCTAAAATTTTCTAAACTCTCTCTAAACTATTTGAATTTGATAACACCAAACATTGTATCAATTTCTCATTTTTATGTGTTTCGCACTATTTTATCTTGTTTTGCAGTTTTTTTATTACATAGTTGTCATCTTTCACTCATTTAAAGGTAAATCTATAAGTTTTTGATATGTAGTTTTGTGTCTTTTATATATTAGATTATAATAAGTTATAGATTCAACATAATTTGATTTTTTAGTTATTATTTAAGCTTAAAACATTGTTTTTTGATTTTTTTCTCTGTTTTGATGTCATTTAAACGGTTTTGGATATGCAAGTTTTTTTCAGATCTGAGTGAGATATTGGAAGATTTCCAGAAGACGTTCAGAAGATTTTCCTGAAACTCTTCTGGCGTAACCTTAAGTTTTCTGACGTAGTCTTAAGTCTTCTAGCGTAGTTTTAAATCTTCTGACGTAGTATTAAGTCTTCTGGCGTAGTGTTCTTCCAATGTCTCCTATTTCACAACAGATCTGAGCATTTTGGTAAGTTTTCATGTCTGATTTTTCTTCATTAGTAATCTCTTGTTGCATAAAGTTCTTATCTTTTTTCGAAACTAAAAGTAGAAGCTCTCTTTAATCTCTTTAAACATGAAAATACCAAATTTTATATCATTTTCTCATTTTTTCCTTATGACTTTCTTACTAACTTATCTTGTTTTTGCAGGTTTTTTCAGATCTGAGTCAGACATTGGAAGACTTACAGAAGACGTTCAGAAGACTTTCTTGGAAGTCTTATGGTGTAGTCTTAAGTCTTCTGACGTAGTCTTAAGTCTTCTGGCGTCTTCTCTCATATCAAGTGGAGTCCAAGCTTGTCTTTGTGGAGGAATGATCTATAATAGTTTTGTTTGTGGTTTGTTTTTTGATTTGTATGTGTACTTTTAATGTAATTTTTTTTTGTAAATTTGAAGAAATATTAATTCAAAATATGGTAAATATGTTTATTGTCCAAAATTACTTGACATTATTAAAATAAACAAGAGTAGAATAAAAGTATGGTTCTATGTTTGTAAAATCAGTAATGATGTTTCTCAAGATGTAATATATGTGCTAACAATATGTTTTCCACTTTTACAAATCAATGAAATAAAAAACCTTAATGGCCTTCAGATTCAAAACATGATGTTCATTGTGTAGTTCTTCTCATCTTTGGATCTCCTTTACTCTGCTAAAAAATATAAGTTTGTAACTATAAACAACTTCTTCTCATTAACTTATAATAGTTGTTCATCACTTTTAACTTCTAATATGTAAAACCAACAAAGTCTTTTAAGAAATAAAACCAATAAAATTTCTAATTGTAAACAACTAAGATATAATGAGTAGGTTAACTCTTCCAACTTTATTTCATGTACACATTATAATCTTCTTGAAATTATTTAACACTTTTGAAAGTTAAAAAACTTATCTTAAATTACTTAACATTCTTAAAAATACAAGTTTACAAAAACTAACGTCGAAGACTTCCACGGAAGTCTTATGCGAGAAGACTTTTTAATAAGTATTCTCAGATTAGTTAGAAACATTAAAAACAAGAATGTTGGTAACTTCATAATTATCACAAATTAAATTATGAATTTCATTCAGGATCCCAAATATTGTCTAAAACACATGAATTAACAATAAAATCTTAAAAAGTCATTTTAAATTTGAAGAAAAGGAAAATTTATTATACATTGTCGTAGATGACTTACCTGAAAGTCTTCTCGGATAAACATGTTAGTTTTGCAGTTGACCAATCTGTGTTAGATTTTTGACTTTCTACAGAAGAATTTCAGGTAAGTCTTCCACCAAAATATTTACTTGAAAGTCTTCTCAACCTTTACATTATTTCTACTCACTATCGCTCTAAGTCTGTGTAGGTTACTTTTGCAATTGACTATATTTGACTTTTGTTGAGAAGACTTTCAGGTAAGTCTTCTTTGATTAACTTAGGTTTGACCAGAATCACGAAATAAAAATCTGGATGACTTCCATCTAAGTCTTCGGGCGGAAGACTTACCTGAAAACCTCCCAATTTAAACTAAATGTTTTAAGTTTAAATTTTCAATTGCAAAAGTAACCTACGAAGATTTCTAGCAATAGCGAGTAGACTTAATGTAAAGGTTGAGAAAACTTCTAAGTAAGTCTTCCAGAGGAAGACTTCCAAGTAAGGAAGACTTACCTTGTAGTCTTCTGTAGAAAGTCAAATATTTGTAACACAGATTGGTCGACTGCAAAACTAACCCGTTTATTCGAGAAGACTTTCAGATAAGTCTTCTCAATTTTTTTTTGCCAACAAAGAAAATTGGAAACTTCCACGACAGCTTCTCTAAAAACACAGAAATTCAATTGCAAAACTACCATATTCTTTCACCTGAAGACTTCCGTGGAAGTTTTCTCGACTGAGAAGACTGAGAAGACTTACACGTAAGTCTTCTAGCGAACAAATCTGGGGAAAAAAATAATTTATACCTTCAACCTCTGAGAGAACTTTCTTAGTTCTCCAAGCACACACAAGTTTACCAGAACAACTACTCAATCGTTAATGACCAGAAATCGTGAGCTTGAATGGCTATATGGCCCTTAAAAACTTTAGAATAAAAAAACTTGGATTTTTTTGGATGAATATAGCTAGAAAGTGAGAGAGATGTAGTTTTGGGCATAAGATATAAGAATGAATGAGTAAATTTCGTTTTAGATGCATTAAAAGCTTCATTTTGGCTGTTCGTGGTTATTGGGTGGATTGATGGCAATGACATTTTCGTGATTAATTGATGAAGATGAGGATGAGAGAGTAAATTACTCATTTTCGAAAATGGAATTTTCGTGAATAATCAGAACTTCTAGGGTGGATATGACAAATGAAATGTCCAAAAAAAAAAGAATGTTAGTGTTGTGTGTTGACTTGGAGTTTAGAGTCAATTTTGCAAAAAAAACCTTCAAAATACAACAAAAATGATAGAAGATATACTATTTTTTTGCAACATCTTTATTATTTAAAATCATTAATTGTTATTTTAGCTACATTAGGCAATTTCGTAATTTTCATTTATGAAAAGAAGGAATAACATTAATAATTAATTTATGGTTTGTTTAATAAAATAATTATTATATATTTATATGGAGTAATCTATTTTTTTAAGGAATATAAGGCTATGTTTATTGGAGGTTCTTAGGGTGGAGTTCATAGCGTAATAAAAGAACCGTTTCTTAACTTTCAATTAAGAAAACTAAGAACAGACTCTTAAATAAGAGTTTTAAGAGACGGTTCTTATATTACGCTAAGAATCTCACCTTAAGAACTCTCCAATAAACATGTCCTATGAGTCATTGTGGTGATCACACATGGCTACTTCAAATATTGTAATGTTTCTCAAATAATATATAGGGGATATCCCACTAATAGGTTAAGGCAGATTTTTGGTCCAGCTGTGGTCGTCTCTCAAGAACAACGAATCTTGAAGTGTTGAAAACTGTTTTGTTAGTTAGCTAGAGCAAGTTCATTGCAGGTCTTTAAAGAAGTTTCTTAGTATTTTTTTGTAATTAAAGGAAAATATATAAAGGTAATTAATGAAGAACCGGCTCTTAATTAAGGGTTTAAAGACCCGGCTCTTGCTTACCACGTGTAGGAAGGAGATTGGAGTTGTGATTTTGGGAGAAGAAGAAAGACGAAGTCTTCGAAGTCTCCATCCTCGATCAATTCTCTCTGTCTCTCCTCGATGCTCACTCCTCAAAGAATCTCGTCGGTCCTCGCCACGTCGACGAAGTCTCTCGGTGATCTCCTCGACGAAGTATGTCGGTGCCTGATGTTAAAGGAAGTGCCTTTAAGGAGAACCATAGAAGGAAGAAGTAAGTGTTTTGCTTCTTTGTGAACTTTTGTTTATGTGTTAGCAAAAAAAAACTTTTGCTTATTATGTAAAGTTATTAACTTTGGAGTTGCAGGAGAGTGGATGATACGGAGAATATTTTTGTCTGTCTTAATGTGGAGAATATAGTAAAGATGAAAGGAGAGGAGTGTCCAAGAAAGAAGTAAGTTTTGCTATTTTCTTCATAAGGCTTTGATGAGTTTAGTACTAAACTTTGGGGGACTATTATGTTCAGGAGAGTGGATGACGCAGAGAACATCCTTACCCCTCTAAAGCTTGGGAATGTAAAGAACAAAGGACATGAGCAGGTATTGCAGAAAATTAGGACAAACCCACCATTTCCTCAGTGTTTTTCAGATAACCGAACAGCTTCTTTGAAGGCCTTAAGTACTAAACCTACGGTATGTAAAATCTCAAACTCCTCTTCATTATCCTGCTAGAAAGAGACATATAACGAGGAAATGGATTGTTTGTTCTTTTTGTTTGTGTGTACAACCAGGAAAAGGAATGGTTGAAGAAGTGGTGAAGAAAAAGAAGGAAGAACTCTTAACTTAAAAGAAACCACCACTGGAAGAGTTAAAGTATGTGTCTCTTAACCCAAACTCTTAACTTGATTTTAATAATTAATTATTGATTAAGAGCCCCTTTTGGGGTTATTGGAAGAAGTGATTAAGAGCATCTTCTAGCCGTCATATGTTATAATTGCTTAGAGGGACTAATGAAGTGGCCTTAGTTAATATGGATTTGGGTAATTAAAGGATTGGTCAAATCTGTGATAACTGACTTTAACATGTGCATTGTGCTCTACCAAACTCACAGTTGAAATCTTTTATATATTTTTATATATTTAACACGAAAATTAAGGTTACTTTTACAAATCAAACTAAGACATAACTATTAGCATAACAACAAGCCAAACTACTTTACTTTAAGAAGAAGAAAAAATAATTATTGAAAAGGTGGAAATGTATCAAAAGCTAAAAATACCAAACAGATTTGAAGAAAAAAGCTTCCCACACCCTATCCTTAACAATAGCCACAGAATCCTTGACCGCCACAACGCCCGCCGGCAAAACGACCACCAACATCAAGACCACGACCACGTCCGTTGAAGAAGGGACTAAATCTTTCATCAGTATACTGACCACGTCCATTGAAGAAGGGACCAAAACGGTGATCGGTCTGCTGACCACGACCAGAACGGTCATAGGTCTGCTGACCACGACCAGGACCATATAAAAAACGATCAAAACGCTCATAACTCCTCTGATGAGGAAAATCGGAAAAACGACGAAAACCGTCATCAGGTTCCTGGGCAAAAGAGGATTCATCGATAGACATGTTCTCTGCCTCGGCTTTTACATTAATCGATGAGATCAACAAATCCATCTTTTCTTCCATCTTTTGAAAACGACAATTTATCTTTTCTTCGATCTTCTGAAGAAGATCAGCCAATCCTTGCAAAATCTCCATCGATATTTTCTCATCATTCGTGTCTTTTTCTACATCATCATTCGGCTCTCTATTGACTTTCTGTAGATGTGTTGTGGGTTCAATCACAACAGGAGCTGCTTCAGATGTGATAGCGGATTTATTGTCCATGGAGAAGAAGAAAAGAAAGTGTCTAGGTTAAAGAGAAAAGGTGGAGAACGGCAAAAACCCTAAAGGCTTGGAAATAATGTTTTTATAGACTTTATACTCTGGCTTGGGGCACAAGTGTTTTTTCAATTATTATTATTTTCTTTTTTGGGATATTGTAAATTGATTTAGGTAGATCTTAAAGACTCTTAAAGTTGATAGATTTTATTGTTATGTTGATTCTCTAAATAAATATACAAACTTTGGTTTATAGATATTTATTGTCATATTTGTTTTGGTAGATTACTACAAATTGTCAAATACATTTGTACTATTTATTTCTGTCATTATTCTGTAAAATTAAATCTAATCTATTAAAATCTAATCTATTAATTTAGGATCCTATTTTTTTTATCTACCATTGATAAATCATTTGGAATTGGACCCTTAATTAATAACATAACTAGGATAAAACATGTGCCTTGCACATGGTGAATGTATGTAATTAAAATATAAAATTTTATTATTGACAAATTTAAAATTTACATATAATTTTTTTTATATGTATTTGAAATTTTAGAATTTTGGAATTTTTGTATAATTATCTATACGTAGAATCAGATACAGTTTTAATTAGAACTGTATATCAAAGTTTAGAATTTAATGGACCCGATTTCATATATCTTTTCTCTTTTCAGTGTTCGATTGATGAAAAATAAACAGAGTATCACTGGGCTTGATTGATGGAGTATTAGCAAGTTCCCTAATGCTTTTATAAGAAACAGTTGGTAAAATATTGTCATTTAGAATATATAAAGTTTCAAAACTAAATTAATATAATTTATTTATTTGTCTAATAATATTAGAAAATTATATTTCTTAAAAATTATTTTATTTTTAAATAATTTTATAAAAATTAAGTTCAATACTAAAATATTTTTAAAATAAAATTATTTTTTAAAAAAGTGTTAAGTTTTTCAAATAAAAATTAACAATTAAAAATTATACTATGGTCATGATTTAACATAACCATAATGATTTAAAAATTAAAAAATTAACTCAATTTTATATCATGATTCAACAATTTAAAAATTAATTATGGTTATGAGAAGTTTACGTTCACGTGTCAATCCTATTTGATTTTCATTTTTTTCTCTTGTTGTGATTTTTTTTTGGTTATTACTCGATATAAATATTGATTTTGAAGTTTATTCTCATTTCGTTTGTTAGTTTTGACCTGATATTTAGAAAATAATTAAGATTTAAAATAATTAAAGAGATACATACTTAGGTTAAGATCTGCACTTTATGCACAATAAGTATTTTATATTTATTATTTATTTTATAATTTTCTGCATATTATAAAATAATAAAATAATATATATATTAAATAACTAAGAAATCGATTACTATTTTGTAATAAATTGGTGTATGCATATAAATTTAACTATCACTCTTATTTATTCACAATTAGGGTAAATAAATCAAAATAATCAATCTTAATCGTATATGATATATAATTAAATGATATAAACATAGTAATATAACACACTTTTAATATAGATATTTATTAAATAAGGTTTCTACTCATATGATTTTATGATTATTTGCATATTTGTGTAACAAAACTTTACACCAACAAATTTTTTTAATGTGAGATGTTTAGTAGTTTCAGTAATTTATAACCATTTTAAAATGACATATTTCAAAATTAAAATATTAACTTTTCAATATATGTTCAATGTAAATATCAAAATATAAGTATGTATTTTCATACGATGTATAGTTTAATTTAAATGATATATATATATTAACATAAAACTTATTAAAATAAAATTATTTCTTCATATGTTCTTATAATCATTATATTTTAATAAAGAAAAAAATTGAAACCATGATCCTAAAAGTTCATGTGAGACGTTTAACAGTTTTAGTAATTTATACTCGTTTTGAAAAATTCAAAATACAAATACAACATACACAAAAAACTAGATTTTTATTATATGATTAATGTAATTTTGTAATTTATTTTAATAATAAAGAAATAAACAAAATGATAAAAAGTATACAAATTGTTATCAAATCTTTATTGTTTAAAATTATTAATTGTCATATATATATTTTAATTACATTAGGTAATTCGTAGGTTTTATTTAAGGAAAACATGCGAAACAATAAATATTTGATATATGCGACCAACTATAGCCTACGAAATATTGTATTGTTAGAGAGTATAATTTTTAGACTATATACTTTAAGTTAGAAGCTTTAGAATCATTTTATCTTGAAATAGAATGCATAGAGATGTGTCACGTAGGATTAAGTTATTTTTTAATTAAAACAAACTTAAGGTTACATCTTTTCAAATGTTTCTCAATTAATATATAAGGGATAATAAATGAACCTAAATATATTCTAATATCTTATATGATACTTTCCTAATTAAAAGCAATATAAATCTAAACAGTTGCATTCCTAATAAAAGCCAAACATTAATTCAACAATATTATATTTTATACATTGATGCAAAAAACTAACAATGACTATGACTTTTTAAAAAAATGATTACGAATTACTATAATTATTAAACGTCTCATATTAAAGATTATGTCATCAATGGTTTTAACATAATTTATCAATGGTTTAAAAAAATTTGTTATAAAATATACAAATGATCATAAAACCATATAAGATATACAAATTAAAAAATTTATTATATATATATATATATATATATATTTATGTTAATATAATTTATTTTCTAAATTTACTTATATAAATTGATTGCAAATAAACAAATGTGACTTTATCTAAGCACGCTAATTTAATTATATTCGTAATATTTACGGAATTTCAGTTATTCAATATATACACACACATATATATATATATATAATATGTAAAGAACCCAATATAAATAATAATACATAAAATAATTTCTATATACAATTTCATACGGCGCAAGGGGGGGGGGGTCTTAACCTTGTATGAATTATGTTTTTATCAAGTTTTAAAAAATTAACATCCAATATAGCATTTTTAAAAAAAAATTGGTGAGGATCTACAGCTTGTGCAGAGTAAGATATATGTATATATTAGGTGATTTCTCCGTCCTGCGCAGAGTGAAAATTTTAATACATGTTTGTAGTTTAAAAAAGAATTATGTTTGCAATTTGTATTTTTTTTTCTTTTATGTTTTTCAAACTAAATAAAACATAGATCGGAAATGTTATTGAAAATAATGTTCCATTTTTTATTAAATTTTGATGATAATAATTATCTTAAAAAGGTAAAATTCACATCTATATTATTATTTGAAAAGTAAATTTGCTTAATTGTCATATTCTCACTAATTTTAGATAGTTTTGTTTATTTGTTATGTTTTTATGGTTTTGACTAATGATTAATTATTACTCTTAACTAATAATTAGGTTTATTAAAAGATAATTAACTATAAATTAAATACGATTTAATATATAATTAAATTTAATTAAAAAAATTTCATTGATGGATAATTATAATTATCTGAAAATAGTTTATATTAAATAACCATAAACTAAAAGTAAATTAATAGATAATTGACCATTAATTAAAATGAATTTCATTGATATTTGCTAAAACCAACCTAAAAATTTAAGTCAAACCTAAAAATGTATCTCACTTTTAGACAAATGCAAAACCAACACAGGGTGTTAAAAATACTATTTAACTCTTATGAACAAACAAAAAACAGAAATGTATTTTATAATTTTGTCCTTTGTAAGTCTACACGTAATAAAAATAAGTCTACGTAAATGTAGGCCTTCTAAGAAGTCGATGATGTAGACTTATCTGTAATCTACATCGCAATTTGATCTAATAATTTAATTTTAAAAATATGTTTAATTAGTTTTGGTATCAATATAAGTGTTAATATGAAGTAAAAAATTATATTGTTATATAAATGAGTAATTAACAAGAATATATATTGATTTGTTAACTATGAGTTAGACAATGTTCATGGTTTAGCAAAAAAATGTTCTTCATTTTGTGTCCATTAGTGATATATTTTCTTAGGGTTAGATTTTGGATTTTGATTTTTTTTTGTTTATTGTCTCAAAACTGCATATTAATGTTTAGTCGTTTATATTTTCTATACCTTTGGTAGACTTACAATAGAGTCTACTTCACTGTAGAAATCTTTTTCAGTCTACTTTAATTTGAAAAATCATAATTTTCAAATTAAATTGAATTCTTTATAAATTAAAATGAGAAATCATATAATACAAATATTAAAAAGAAAAAAATAAATTATATATCAAATTTAAAATAATAAAAATAAATAAAAATAATTATTGGACTAATTATTAATTTAATATTTGTTTTGTTTACAACAAATGGCGTTGATCCATAGGAGTGAACGAGAAGGTGAAGAAAGCTTTTGTCAAAAAGGAAAAATATTGATTGTTGGACACAGTCTCCAACTGGAAGGACGATTATCTGGTGGACAGTTATGAGAACGGAAACCCGCTGAACTCACAATGGAGGGGTGGGATGGCCTCATCCTTTATTGGAGCTTTCCATCATCGATCAGTGTCTCCAACCGTTGCTTTGATTCCCGTCTGATGCAAGATGAGCATGGCAACACGCCGATGCTTCACTTTTTGGGTCAAACACCCCACGCCGGTCTCTGTCTAGGGATGGTAAATACTTAAATTAATTAAATTTTGTATATATATTTTAATTGATTAACTAGATTTTGACCCGCGCTTTCAAAGCGCGGGTAATATACTGTTTAATTCTAAGTATCTGGATCCTCGAGTCGGGTCTGGATTGAGTTTTGTCGGGTTCATGACTTTCGGGTCTTGAAAATTTGGACCCATATAAGTATCTATAATTTTTCGGGTCAATTTCGGATCAGGTCTTGTCAAGTTTGTTGGTTCGGGTATATTATCGGGTCGGTTCGGGTATTTAGGACCTGAAAAGGATCCGAAGGACCCAAACTGGATCCCAAAACCCGAAAACCCGCAAAAAAAAATCAGAAA